CAAGATTTCGTTTCTCATTATGGCACAAGAGTTAAATGCAAAATATAAAGAGGATAATGATATACTCATCTAGGAACTCAAAGACTTCTAGCAACGCCTCCCATACGCAGGCTTCGGTGTACCGTCCATGGACTATGGTGATGTAGACTATTTTACCACGATCTCGCAAGCGACTATATGCCCCCATAGTCTAGACCGTGAGAGTATCATCGCTCTTCGTCTCTAAAGGCATGGGAAAGAAGAGGCGGCGTATCAATGAGGAATTATATATGGTATGGGAAGACGAGAATGACAACTATCAAGTCCGAGAGTTTACAGAAGAGGAGGTAGCCGAGTGGGCTGAGCTGGAGAAGCTCACTGACGCAGCAGCAAAGCATAGAATAAGTTCGTTATCAGCTAGTCCTATTTGTGCTGCATGACTCTAAACTAATATCTTGTACAAGTTCTAAACGAACTATCGCTGGTGAGTGGACAGAAAGAATAGGTCAGACAATCCTCCCTTCACTAGTCCAGAAATTTCCTTGACCTTGAGATCTTATGCCTAGGAACGCCACGATCTCTATCGGAGCAATCGTGAGCATATTGTACCAGCTTATAGAGCTATTCAATTTCCCCCAATACTTCGTCATTATCCTGTTCCATAATTTCGTCATCTTCAAGAGGGGAGGTATAATTTCCGCCACCTTCGAAATGTCTTAGAGATTCTGGTGCCGATTTCCTGTAATAACAAACAAACCGCCGTGGCGTTGCAGCAATATCTTCGTTCTCCTTCAAGTAGAGAAGTTTATCAAGAAAGCTATTTGCCTTGAATACTGCTCGGAGGCCCCTAGTTGTGGGTAATAAATGAACTTCTTCCCATGCTTATCTTTGCCTTCTACTCGGAAAGACAGTCTCTGACATAAATCGACCTCAGTCGCATCGATCGCATAAAGCGATAGATGCCGTGATCCTTCATCTGCTACTTCAATAAAGAGCGAAACAAATCCGTTACCAATATCCATATGTTTTGGAAGAACCATATGGCAATGACTTATTCCTATCCTCCTCCGTGCCTCGGATGGGTCTAGGTAATACAGATAAGACTTCCCACGGAAGCAAGAGCTTTCTAATTTCCAATCGTTAATATGAGTTGTCATTCGTCTTTCTTTCCGACGTATCAGCCTACAATTTTCAGGTTTCTGGTAGTGTCCTAGAGCTTTGGCCTCTGCCTCATCCCGATATACACTATTTAACCCCTTTTCGTCTTGTTGCTGAATCCGACTATCTCCAAACCTCACAGAAACACAGTGATCATGTATTTTATCGAGAATAGTTGGGTATAGTTGTGGTGCATCGTCAAACTCGGCGATAGTATTCGAGCTTGCCTCGGGCTGAGATTCCCGTTCTAAATCTAGATCATCGATATCGGGAGATATTTCGTAATAATCAAGAGGAGCGGATATCATATTGGCAGTATTAGAACTGCTATCTGGTGTGGTACTGGTTTTATTCGGACGTGACCTCTTGCCAATTGGCGGGGAAAGGCCTTTTTGAGTTGACTCGGATTCGTTGGGACAGGCTCTTTTCAAATTCTTGGAAAGAGATTCCTGAGTTGTAGTATATCCAGCCCGATAGAATTCCTCTTCGTTAGACGTTGGAGGTGATCGCAGCTCCATGGCTTCTTGAGTCGAAATTAATCTTTTCTCATAATAATTCGAATCTTGTAGCTCTACCTTGCTTTTGATCAGCTGTTTCGCCTGCGTTCTAATGGCAGCACTAGCATTATCGTATTCTTTTCGTGTGCGTGAAACGTGTTCTCTCTGTTCCAATAGCACCTTACTTGGAAGACGCCTAGGGCCTCTCGGGAGCACATGTAAGAGAATACACAAGCCCTGCATTAAAGATCCGGCAATCTCCTCCAACTTCCAGATATCTTCTAGATCACTAAATCCTTTACGACAAAGCCAAGAGTAGAGCGCACTATCGATGTTGTCGACTGTCATCTTTGCGGCTCCATCTTTCTCTCTTTGTCGTTGTTTCAATATCATATGTAGAGCAGAAGAGTTTTCAATGAAGTACGCTGTAATACCTCTCGTATTCGTCACCAGAGAAACAAATTTTATCAGCTCACAGACTTTGGCTGCTTGGAGGTATGGTATTGACCATGTTTTAGCCGGTAATCCAGGTGATTCAATGAATAAGCGACTGGCCTTCGAGGTATTTTCAATATATATCTGGTAGCGAAAACTACGTAACTCCAAATCATATTTCTGGCTAATCTTCAGAGTGGTAGTATTGTTCTTTTTGCTATAGAACCGCACAATATAACAACCTTCAGGCTACTCGTATTCAGTAGCTCTAAATGCTGGCGCACTTGTATCGCCTCTTCGGCTTCACTTCCTTCCAGAATAGATGTAGATATAACTGAGAATGGCTTGAAGTTGTGTGTCCAGACGAGGACATTTCTCGGCATTGAAATTGGCTGCTTGTAATGCCCATGGGAGATTGCAGAATATACTTTGACCGCTATCACCGGCATTTGTTTCGTAATCATGGTGAGGATCTCCACCAATTGTAGCAGCTATATCCAGCACGAAGCCTATGTTTGCTGAGCACAAAGCCTATGTTCGCTGAGCACAAAGCCTATGTTTGCTGAGCACAAAGCCTATGTTTGCTGAGCACAAGGCCTATGTTTGCTGAACGTGTCCCATTAAAAAGGGATATCATCATACTAGGTTGAATCTGTAGTAGGTGAGATATCGCTCTGGAGTGATGCCTCTACAGCACTAAACAAAGGCCTGTCCTTGATCGCATCATCTAGGGCTTTGATATAGTCGGCATCAATCCATATAGGTCGTTTGGACTTTGATAGTACTCGCTGTTTCGTCTGTACACGAAAGCTGAAGAAAGCTTTGATCTCAACGCATATACCATTGAGCTAACAACACAGAATGCTCTCGACAAGCACGTAACTATCAGGGTCCTCGATTGGATGACGACCGTTCCGCATGCGTGGCAGCTGAAAGGTGCGGCTCAGACACACTATCTGTGTCACTCCTTCTTTCGCGGTATGACTTGTGGCGATCAGATGGGTCACAAGAGTCTCCTTGCTATTCTTGCCATTTACCCGGCCCGTGATTAGTCTGGAAGCTCTAGTCTCGTTGTCTGCCCTAAATCCTGTCAGCTCAAATGGTTGGCCGAGATAGAAGGGAATTTCGAGCCGGTATATTGCCTGGCCTTTAAGATAAATGAATTGCTAATGTTTTGAAAGGGACAGGGAATGAGGGCATTTATACTCGAGGGCCCTTCTATAACGGCGCACCAGCTTCTTGCTGGCGGATATGACGTTGTCATTGTGACTTACGAGTTCGTGGAGTCCAACTGGAGATCCATGCAAAACCTTACCTCTGATAAGGAGAGAGGGCAAGGAAGGACTAAAGCCCAAGCGGGTTACCGCAGCCCTTCATAGTAATATGTGGCGACTTCTCAACCTACCCATCAAGCGCCTTGTTCTGGACGAGGTCCACAGGATCAAGAACCACAGCGGGCATTGCCACGCTGCCGTGCAGAACCTTTTCTATCATTCAGCCATCCTAGCCTCTGGAACATTCCTCAACAACAAGTGGCTTGATGTCTATGGCCTCTTATTGACACGGATACCGTAAGGTCGAGAACGAGAGTAACATAAGTCGCGGCGTAACGGTTCTATGGTGTAACGGTTCCATTTACCGAAGACCTACCCCATCATAATCCAAACCACTCAAAAAGGGTCCATCGCAAAAGCTTAAAAGCTTAAGAGCACGATATTCGACTAGCTAAGGCTGTACGAGGGGTCCAATCTGACAGATATAAGTCTTCCTACGATGCTGCAAAGCAATTGGGGCTTTCAAAGACGACTGTTACGTGACGTGTTAATGGAAGAGAAACGCGCGCCAAAGCACAACAGAAACAACAGAAACAACAGGTATTATCGCTAGCATAAGAGAGTGTTCTTTTGAAGTGGATTAAACAATTGACTATTATTGGATATTCTCCCGGGCATCAATTGTTAAAGGAAATAGCGGAAGAAGTTCGCTCTACTCGCAGCCGGAATATAGACGCCGCGTTACCTTATCATCTCGATCCTTAACCATACCTTCCACTTGGTTAAGACTGGTTTCTACAATTCATCCAACGCCATCCGCATCTCAAAGTTGCTATTAGACGTTGAATTGAGTCTATACGGATAGATGGGGTTACAAGACTAATGCTTGAAGCTTATGCCATTACACGAGAGAACGTTTACAACATGGACGAGTCTAGATTTTCGATAGGCACAATGGAGTTGACTCGTATCATTATCGATTCTAAGCTTCGTACGAGATATTAGGCGTATCTTGGCCTGCAAGAATGGATTTCATTTGTTGAGTGTATTTGTGCAGATGGCACAATGCTCGAACTTCTAGGGCTATTTGAAGGGAAGAATGTCCTACAAAGTTGGATCCAAAAATAAAGTAATGGACAAGTGGTACTTCTCGGCAAATACAAAGGCGTGGACGAGTAAGAAGCGTAAGACTCGTATGAAGGGAAAGAGGGTAGTTTTGGAGGTCGTTTCCAGAATGGTGCGATGCAGTAATTGCGGCTAAGTAGACAAAAGATCGGGCAGCTAAGAAGAGGAAAAAAAAGGTACGGCTATTGTACACAAGACTGAGAGTGAGGAGGAAGTTAAAGAAGATGATGATACTAAGGACTGTATTGTAGTTGGTATGAAAATTTGAAGCTTTGGTTGGGTAGTCGGTAAATAGAACCCTTACACCACGACTTACGTTACTCTCGTACTCGACCTTACGGTATCCGTGTCAATAATATGCGATATTTTCGACCTATAGGTAAAAATCTCTATTAATACCTACATAGGTATATTATATCATTTAAGCCTTTTCGCCTGGACGGTTCCCGCACCTGACCTGTATTCTTTATCGGCACGTGAGGGATTTTCGCTTGTCACGTTATAATGTAAAATAAGCAACTAGCAATCAACAGGTCGACTGGCCCAATGGGTAAGCGGCACTCTCTCAGTGCAACGAATTGAACTAACAGTTGTACAGCAAGGCGTTTGACTACGATTACGTGATCAAAAGATTGCAGGTTCGATCCCTGCGTCGATCAAAATTCTTTTTTTTTTCTTCTTCTCAATTTCTTTTTGTTGTGTCTTATAATAACTCGCTTAATCGCCGCCTTCGTCGCGGTCGCGGGTCGAGTTCGCTCCTAGTCGGTAAAAGAGTAGATCGTTACCCTCCATTGTGTGACAACGCAAGTCGAGGGATGGATTACGGGCGCGTGGGCTCGGGAAGATTTCGCTACCTCGACCCCTCTTGATCACCATAGTTAAGGTTCCATCTATGTTCCTACAAGTAGCAATTTCACTTCTATTTCGTAACCAGACTCGACTCTAAGAGCCTAGCAGATGTTCATCACTGATTCGCCTTGTCATATCCCAACAAACACTCTGCACTTTGACTTTATTCGTCACGTCTTGACTTTAATCCAATTTCGTTACGTCTTCTATCCTTCAGCTCCCAAATGATTGGACTATCTAGTAGGGATGAGGCAGTTCCCTTTTCTATGTGAAGGGAAGACCTACAAAAGCCGGTCCACATGTTTCGCTGATTGTATTGTCTGTAATATCCTAGTCATCCTTGAATTCGGATATAGTAGGTTATCTACAGTAACATTCGAAACCAGCTTCAGTCTAAACTCTATAACGTTATGTTTTTTTTTTAGCCGAGAATTGTCGTTATACTAGTTCCGATACAGTACACAGAGGTTCGGCCTTTCCTACAAATCGTAGTTCTAGAAGCTTCGACAATAGTAACGAAGAGTACACTGTGTTCCTAATCGAATCTCTCTCTGCATTTCTTCATTATATGTCTTCGTACATGATATTTGTTTCTTCTAGCTGGTACTACTAATCTTATGCTCAGCACGTCCTCATATGGCAGGATCGGCTCGGGCTGTCCATTCGTTACAACAAACCGCAAGCTCGGCGCCACTCGTTTGCCTCAAAGAAATATTCTGTCTTTAGTGGTAAGTTAAGTCAAAGTTGGGGGTGACTGCCTTCCTTGAAACGGCCTGCTTATCATGCGTCGGTTCAGCTACTGACACAACGACGTCCGCGGGCGGACCTCCCGGCTCGATTCGGCTTAGGACATAGATGGCTTAATGATGGGCAGTCCGACTTCTTCCGATGAGACCGATCTGTATGATCCGTGGGAGCTATTTGAATTTTCCAGTCAGCAAAATACCCAGGCAGACAAGCTTGGGCTATGTCGTTATGCGGACTGGGATCCCGATCGAGCATATGATGAAGACCCGCCAATCTATATACACTACTCTATCGAATGGAAGATTGCAGTTAATAAAAGGGCGATAACGCTGAAGGACACTGCAGAATTTGGTTCTAGAACCTGTCGCATACTGGGAACACTTCCTCGAGGCTAAATTACAAAAAGGCTTGCTTAAAGAAAAGAAATCTCTTTCGTCTGAAGATACAACAGTTGTGGTATGAGTCACGAAATACTCAGAGCGGAATCTCATGAAGCGATTTGATGACATCAATATTGATTGGGCTGTCATACAAAAGCAGCTTCTTGCATAGGGCGAACTGTTTCGAAGGAAGAGCAAACATTACTATCCCCCCCTTGAATATTTGTACATACTCCACTTTCTGTGGCTAAGACGGCCTAACTAAGGAAAGTAAACAGAGCAGATTTCCTGAGCAACGATAGGATGCACGGATCATAACATTTCTCTTACCAGTTAGAGTAAGCTAAGCCACAAAGTGGAGTATGTACAAATATTCAAGGGGGGGATAGTACAGTATGTGCAAGCTAGAGTCTAAATACAGGAATTCTGCCGGGTATTACTGCCTAGTCATGTGCTGACTAGTGACACAAATCAATAGTTTTATAAAGCAGTTTTTAGAATCTTCTATGTGAGCCACTGAGTGAAATACTTCAGTATCATGACAAATGTCCTTGACAAAGGTTTCTGGAGCATACTGGATACTTTACACCCAGTCGCAACATTCCATAGTATATAAACATCAGCTCCCCTAGGATTCTCTCTATCAAAGTTATTAAAATTAAATTCATATGTTTTATAACTACAGTACGAATTATGGGTATTTCTTAGCGCCTTTCTCGAGCAGCAGCTTCACTATCGCCTCGTGCCCTTTCTGTGCAGCGATATACAGCGGCGTCCAACCATCGACATCTTTAGTCTCAAACTCAGCGCCTTTCTCGAGCAACAGCTTCACTATCGCCTCGTGCCCTCTCTCTGCAGCGATATACAGCGGCGTCCACCCATCGCGATCCTTAGTCTCGAACTCAGCGCCTTTCTCGAGCAGCAGCTTCACTACCGCCTCATGCCCATTCCCTGCAGCGAAACACAACGGCGTCCAACCATATCTACCTTTCGCCTCGAACTCAGCGCCTTTCTCGAGCAGCAGCTTCACTACCGCCTCGTGCCCTCTCTCTGCAGCGAAAGACAGCGGCGTCTGACCACCGCCATCTTTCGTCTCGAACTCAGCGCCTTTCTCGAGCAGCAGCTTCACTAATACCTCGTGCCCATTCCCTGCAGCGAAACACAACGGCGTCCAACCATATCTACCTTTCGCCTCGAACTCAGCGCCTTTCTCGAGCAGCAGCTTCACTACTGCCTCGTGCCCATTCCTTGCAGCCCATAATAGCGGCGCCCCGCTAATTTTAGTATCTTTCGTCTCGAACTCAGCGCCTTTCTCGAGTAGCAGCTTCACTACTGCCTCGTGCCCGTACCCTGCGGCGATAGACAGCGGCGTCCGACCATCGCTATCTTTCGTCTCGAACTCAGCGCCTTTCTCGAGCAGCAGCTTCGCTACCGCCTCGTGCCCATTTTCTGAAGCCCATAATAGTAGTATCTGACTATCATGATCATTTGAATTCACATCCACCTTGCCTGTCTCGAGCAGCAGCTTCACAACTGCCTTCTGCCCAGTATCCTTTGCGCATATAAGCACTTTATTAGCAAGTGTATGCAAATTTCCGAAGAACTCTTGCAATGTCCAATTGAAGAAACAGCAGATAGGAGGGTTCACCTCATTAAGGTTGAGTAAGAATGAGACAGTATCGAAAATAGTATCTTGAAGACTCTTTCTATAGTCTGCTCTAAGAAGATTAGTGTTGCATGCATCTGAAGATATACCTAGTAATGCATAAATTTTATCCTTAGGGTCGGTTGCTTCGCTATCGCGAAATTTATCTAGCATTATATAAAGATCCCGCTTTTTGGCCCACCATGAGCTATCCCGGAGAGACCCTGGCATGATATCAATGATAGATTGGCAGTGCAAGTCTAGAGTAATCCCTAGTAAAGATGGCATACGAGCGAAGGTGCTTGCTAAAACAGACTTGTTACCGCAAACGATATCAGCAGCTCGTGCGTTACCAGTTTCTTGTATAACCCAGACTCTTTTAAACCAGTTTCGATGAAGGAGTGACTGTAAGCCTTTGACCAAAAGTGCCTTTTGGTCAGGCCTCAGATCGCGTACTACTGCTAACCAGGTGTCGACTAACTGCTTATCTGAAATTTCCTGGTAATGCTGGTCATTAGAGGCGTGTTTGATACTCTCTTCCTCTAGCTGCCCTATATAATACATAACATAGTCTGTATTATATGTAGCCTCGCCTAACCAGATGATTACTCGTTCAGCCTTACTATAAATAGATCCCATCTGCTGAACTTGCTGTCCTTGCTCATTCTTGTCGCTTTGATTAATAGAAAGGGCATCAACCCAGAGGACCCGGTCTTTTTCTCGGTAACGGAGATTCCGAAGTGCAAGATATACACTTTTAGTGACTGTCATTCTGCTATCATTGATAATTATATCACATGGTCTAGATGTGCTGCCCCATGTATAAGATAAAGCCGCATAATTGCTAATATCTTCTGATGAAGGGATCTTTGACTCAAAAAGCTGACACTGAATAGGGTCGTCGTCGCGGCCTTTGAGCACTCGGAGAAGGCGAAAGGCAGGCCCTTCAAGAATGATTGGCTTATACTCAAAATTCGTCATTTTTAGCGCTTAGAAGTCAGAACTGAGACAGAGAAATGTCTTATGTAGCTGTGATAGTTGAGGTGGGCTCTATTTCTCAGGGCTGCGTATCTAATTTGCATGCTGTTGTGGTTTAAGCTAGTTTTGTTGATGGATGCTGACTAAGGTGGCAAAGGGTTCACTGGCATCCGTGTACGGCTTAATTTAGTGGTGATAACATGAACTCAGTCCCAGAACTTAAGGGATGAGCATTCCGATATTCGGCGCCGAATATCGGAGGAATCACTGAATATTCGAATATATAAGGAGGCTATTCAGACGCTCTGTAGCTAGTTAGTTGAGTCAAAATATCAGCTGTATTCGATCCTATATGCTTAGTAATATATTGCTTCAGCCAATCATAAGAGAGTTCCACCAACAAGTTTATCAAGCTACCTGTGTCACGTGTCACATGGGTACAATGCTGCTAGCCGTATCGGTACTAGTATGAATCATGACACACCACACCGCCAATTATAAAAAACATATAGAGTTTAGACTGAAGCTGGTTTCGAATGTTACTGTATTTATTGGCTTTATACTATGCGCGTTCGAGTTGGTAGGAGAGGCAACAAGGAACCTCGAAAAAGACGTAGGCAATGCGAGTCATTGATTTGCAATCAAAGTTTTACAACTATATTCATTCGCATGCATTACTAGCGAAATGTTCGCATATTGGTTGATACAAGCATGAAATTCTATACATACGTGTCAAGCATCAGTGCCTAGCACCCCGGGTAGGTGGCGGGGGGTTGGGTGCGCAGAGCGGCGCCGGTGGTTTGCAACAGATAGTAGCTTGCTCTTACAAGGACTGGCCGGTCTTGGCAATGATGGTCTATTAGCTTCTATAATGATGACAGTAGACGGGTGCGAGTCGAAGAACGTAAATCCTCTTCTGTATACAAGGATATTGAAATATGTTTGCTAGATTTAAAATATATAGCATAAGACTCGCAAGATCGACTGCTGCAGTCTGCCCAACACTCTATAAATCACCTTCAGCATTTATTTATCCACCCCCATCCGATTAAACCGCGTT